GTCTAAACGGCCATTTTAACAGAGGGTCGTACTCTCCACGCATGATCACAAAGAACAAGCTGATGTGGGTACCTTTACCCATTCCATCACCATTAAGGTAAATACGTGCACACATCTTGTATCCATGAGGGTCTGTGTAGAATGGCGGGCTGTAGAACGAGACTTGTCGTCCACTTGTTGCATCAGCATGTCGTCGAGCCATCTGATCGACCTTCCACACTAATATACCATTATGACTATTAACAGCAACACTGTTTAATTGCTCTTCAAGATCAGCCACTGCCAAGTTTGTTTTTCTTATCACTTCTTCTGCTTTTTCCAGTTTAACGTTCGTCTTTCTGAGTTCTTGTCGAAGTTCTGCAATCGTCGCGTGTGCTTCGTTTAACAGAAATTTGTGATCGGTATTGTTTCCTTGATGTTGAGCTCTGATCATGTACCTTTCTTGTTGATCCTCCTGCAAGGGTAGAACATCTGGGACACACATATGCTGTGGTTTTTGTTCCTACATCAAGCAATTATAGAACAGATTCAAACAATAATTTCTAGGGTTTTAAATAAGTAACCTCTTTTCTTGTATGGTTGAATATTTGAGTATTGTCCGTTTTCTATAGAAATATGTACCAGACCACTCCTGTATGTACCACGAAAAAAAATGAAAAATGATTTTACCTGTAGCTTGGAATGTGCAAGATACGGCTCACTATGAGAACACAGGATCTTAACTTGTCTGTTTATCTTTTCAAGTGCTTGATGCAACTCATCCATCCGACCAATGATATAAGTGATTTTCTTTTCGAAACTTCTTATTTTTACATCAATGAGGGCTCTAACTTCAGAGAGAGTTTGCTCACTTATAGATTGCCAATCCAGCAACCCTTTTGACTTCATGTAACTTCTTATTTTTTCATCAATCAGGGCTCCAACCTCGGAGAGAGTTTGCTCATATATAGATTGCCAAACCAGTGACCCTTTTGACTTCCTACAATTTTGATTTACAGATAGTAGGTCTTCTATAGATGGTAAGAAATCTTGAAACTTGTTCAGAAGGAGATTTAGGTGTTGTTGCATGTTTTCACTTTGGTGCACCTGACATTCTTTATGGTTGAACTGAGAAAAACACTTTGGGTTGTTAGAATAACAAAAAGAAGGTTGCAGTAATTAAGCATTATTGCAGAAGTACATGGGGCAGTATCAGGAGAAGATTGTTATTTTGATAAAATCCTCACCAGTAAAATGAGCAAAAAGAATCAGCTAAAAGATTCAGAAGAAAAGAAGAAAAAGATAGCAATATAAACAAACAAAGAAACAATTGAACATGATAAAAACTCGAGATTGATTATTTTTTATTATTTTTTATTTATTTTACTGTTTTAAAAACAGTAAGAACAAGAATTACATTGTACATGAACAAGAATATCAAAATAGACAGTTCCATTTACTTCCTACCTTGGATTCACTGCATCCTAGAGCTGTGAAGGGACACAACACGAGAAGCTTCTCGCATATTATGTCTTTGCCATTGGGATTGCTGTGCTTCGACAACTACATACAAAAATATTTACACGAAATTGGTAATTCTGAAGATGGTCATTAATGAAATGAGAGCTCTTACCTGTTCACGCGGAAAAACTTTCTCACACAGTTCGCATGTTACTAGGTAGCAAGGGCAGACATTCTCATGCTCCTATATGTACAATTAAAATAAAGAGTATATGACCCGTGATTCAGAGAAAATTAGAGTGTACAAATTAGCAAAGTAAATAAGCATATTATTAAATATCAAAAAGCTGGCGGAAAACTAATTGAAGATGGTCGTGGGTGGGTTGCAGGGAAGATAATGATATATCTATCTGCATTATGTGAATTGAAGAGAAAATTCACAACCATTTTGATTACCCGAATTTTGTTGAATGTAACAAGCTGTTCACAGTACAAACACTTCTCTTGTCTATAAAAACAGTCTCTCTCAAGGTGCTGTGCCAGAGTTTCCTTTGTAAGCTGTTGGTAACATCCATTATTTACACATGTCAGAGGAATGCACTTGCATGTTTTTTGATGATTCTGAAACAAAACAAAAAAATACAAAACATGTCTATTTTAAGGGAATTATTTGGAGCAACCAAATATTATATGTATCTTGGCCAAATATAATAGTGATGGTGGACCATAATATGATATGGTCCCAAAAATTCAAGAATTTGAATTTGTCAATTCATGCCTCATCCCTAATGTGCAATTTTTAAACCATTTCTTAACAGAGTTCATACCTGTCGATGTCTCAATTCTCCTCTCCATTTACATCCATAATCAAAGTAAACACAGTACAAAGTGAGATTTTGTATCTCATGGTCTGCAGACTCGTCTCTGAATATCTGATGGATAATAACATTATAGTTCATAGCTTTACATTAAACCTTTGCAACTTTCGACCCTTAATGTATTCCATGGAAATATATGGCTCCATCTATGGGGCAAAACAGTTTCCCAGATGAAGCTGCTTTGACGTCACAAAAAACGAGCCTATGAACTGCATTCATAAGAGCATGTGATCAAGCAATTTTTGTTTTAATTGGCTACCTGACCTAAAATTGCAGGATATTCTATTTATCTAAATTAAAATAAAATTTCTTTATAATCATATTTATATAATATACAGTATACCAAAAACTACAATAATAAATACGATCGTATTCTTATTTTTAAAATATACCTGTCCTCGGTTAAACGTTTCTTTGCAGAATTTACATTCTATTTCGTCATCATGTTTACTACAACAAAAACGTGATATTTATAATAATATAATCTAATTTTGTTCATCAATATGACATTGAATGCTAGCATGACTCATTTTAATCCTCTGTTAAGTAAATGCGGCTTATTAGTGCTAAATACTGTTGCAATTACATGTAATGATAATCTATTAGACTCCTTTAAGCTTCTAGTCGCATGACGAAGCTGGCAGCCAAGAAGCTCTTTGTAAATAAACCTTTCGAGCTTCTGTTATATGACTAAAGTAACTAAAGTCTAAGACGTTATTGTTGTCATTAACACTTTTATTCAAGGACTATAAACTTACTTGAACTCTTCTTCCAAGCATCCAAGGCAATAGCGATGTCCACATTCTGTTTGAATCGTAGTCTTTAGGACGTTGCTGCAGATCGGGCAAAGATGTTTGCTCTGGATATTTTGACGATCTTTTTCACAGATTCGATAACCACCAGTAGTCATTGAGAATTCTGTTCGAATAAGAAAATAAACCATAAAATAAAATCCATGCCACAGATTTTACCTAACTTCTACCGCTTTCTCGATCAGTTGCAAGCAAGGTTTGGTTCGCGCGGCGATGATGACGTACATGTATGAATCTCGAAAAACGCTCAAGCCTTAAATTTGATTAAGTTTTAGTTAGTCTTCTTCGCAGGTCGGTTACCCTGGTCTCCTAGGTTTTCTCTCAATCATTTTCTAAGTATCTTTCCAAACTTTCGACCGACTTTTCGAGTAGATCTTTGCCCTTTTGCAGATCGATGCAGTTGACGACGTACTAGCGTAAACTAGGGTAGATAGCTTACTTGTAAGTTGAAGTTTGATGAAGATTCTCGATACCACAACTACGTGAATTGTTGTAGAATTCAATTCCAATGTGCTCGCTGACAACTATGACCTCTAATCTCGGCAAGATTCAAGTCAATTCACAGTTGTGTAAGCCACACATTGACATTCTAGACGCACTTCGTTCGGTCGACAGAGAGAACAGTGATTCATAGGGAGGGGAATCCCCGAAATAGGAGCCCACACGGCTAAAGTCAGCGGTCTGTGACCGGAAATGTACAATCCTCCACCTTCGTTCTCTTGGGTAGGGGGATACCAAGGGACTTAAAGGGTAGGCTGCGTCACATCCGGAGAAGCAGGCTAACTAAAGTATTCAAGGGATTAAACCCCTTATAATTTCTTTTCAAAAATATCTGAACTTAAATCAATAAATAAACGTTTTATATCTTGTTCAAGACTGCACATTGAGCGCCGCAATGGTAGATTGTCATTCTTACACTGAATACTAATGACTCAAATGCGGTTAAGGGAAAGTACATTTATCATGCGGGGGAAGGGGAGAGGGGTGAAGATGTCATATAAATATGTCATTACTTTCTGAGCTGTTTTTGGCGTCACTGAAATCGTCAAGGCCCTTAGAGAATTCGTTATAATTCTCCCT